GCGGCCCGTGCGCGCGCCGGCCGCGGGCGGCCCGCCGAAACCCGGCCCGCGCCTCGACGGAGGCCTCGACCCAAGGGCCAACCTCGGCGCCCTGCTGGCCAAGTACCTGCAGCAAGGCAGAAAAGGCACCGGTAAGAGCTGTGCCGCCTCCTGGGGTGGACACCGGCGGGTTGGGGGAAGCCTGTCGGCATCTATCGCGGATAACTGCAAAGAGAGGATGTGGGGTCTGCTCAGTTGTTCCTGAGCTAAAGAGCGTTTGCCTTCTCTGTTGAGAAGCTCTGCCAAAACGCTCTGTCTGGAGCATCCACTGACTGAGAGCTGGGTACGGGTAACAAAAATAAATTAACCTGCCTGTCAGGTTCTAGCTGAGGGGCCTTTTAAAAGAGTTTATTTGCACAGCCTTATTATTATCTTGGCATGTTTTATATAATATTTTGTCTTGCCTGAAACCTAGTGATTGTGTTCTCTTGAAACTTTTTCACTGAATTAGCATGTCTCCCCTTTCCTCTAAGTGAAGAGAGTGTGAGAACTTTTATGTAGCTAAATAGAGACCAAATAGCTAATCTTGCCTCCTCCAGAAATATCCACAGCAGGAAAATCTTCTAGGTGTCGGACTCTCACATACATTTTTTTTTTTTTTTTCCTCCTGGGGAGAAGTTACAAAAGTGAGCAAGCTTTTAAAAGATCAGAACTTGCATTTGTGAACATGGTGGCTAAAAGCAGTAGTAGATAACTGTGTTGCTTCAAAATATGCCAATTCTTACTGGGTTTCAAGTCCCAGGCAGCCTTGGAGTACGAGAGAATCTTGCAATTACTTGAAAACCTCCATGGGGCTGCATTTGTAAAAGGGATGTGAAGCACAGATAGGAATAGTGGAATTTGAGTGTTTTAGCTATTTATTTTTAACTAGGTAATATATTAGTCATTTAAGGAAGAACTTCTGTTATATACATGAACTAGTTAGGAAGAGAATAAAGCTGTATAATAAAAGYATGCATTCTCTATGTGCTCAAGCACGTGCTGTCTGTGCTATCAGTAGAGATGATGGATCAAAATCATGGCATGGAGTTCCCCATCCCCATCTTCCCTCTCTCCTCATCCTCTTCACTCCCCACAAAAAAAAAGACATTTTCCATTTTGAAGCGTGTGATCTGTGTATTGCTTTGCAGCTGAACAGAGAAGTGCTGATTCTCCCCTGGGGAGAAGGATGCCCGCCAGCCTTAGCAAAAGCCAYCACACAATCTAGGGATTTACCTAAATCTTATTTAATTACTGTAGCTTTAGTCTGGTCTCTCCAGTGTTGCAGGGGAAAAGAAACATCCTAGAAGCAAAGAGGGCTGTAGGGAGAGGCAGTAACTGTGATGAACAAGGACTTCACTTGCAGACYCAGGCTGCATTTAGGATGAAGTTCCCTTCAAGCAAAGGCTTTCTCCTCTCCTGCAGTTCACTCCAGCCTCCTTTCCTGATAGCCTTACCCCCTGATCCTTGTTCTAGGCAGAATCTCTTAATTTTGAAGGAGCTCTGCAGTTAAGAGATGTCCCATGTGTTCTATACTAGTGTATGCYGGCACACACACTCCTTGGTATACATGGAGCACGATCCAATTAGAAACAACCCCCCAAAAATATCACTTTGTATTCTGAGAGACTTCATCTCCTGTTAGCGTGTCTGTTAAGGAACTCGTTTTAGCAGTTTGTAGGTCTTCATGGAAAGGCAATTCAGATGCAAAGTTGCATAATTTGGTACTGTAGTTAAAGGTATTGCTGAGGCAGAATCTTCATCTSCTTTCTGCAGTGGAGTCGTTGTCACACACATCTATTGAAATTGAACTCATCATTCTAGTTTATGTGGCCTCTTAAACTTTTGGCTGACATTTCCAAATAGCTTAAATGGGTGAAGTGGGGAGAGACTAAGAGGGGAAGAAGAGGGGGAGGATGGGGAGGATTTAAGCCATATTTTGTCCAAGCATTATATAAAGGAGAATTTCTTGCATTCATGTTTGCAGATGTATGATTAACCCTACAAAAATACTGTTAGCAAATGATGGGATTCTTGTGATATTGCTAAGCTAATTGGACTCTGACTTGCAAATAAACTTGCTAGCAGAGACAAAGCAGTGTATTTTTTACTTAAAATAATGCAGATAGTGGCCTGTGAACTGTGTCAGAGTCCCGACGTTATGTTCCCATTTAGCACAGAGCTTCGGAACACTTTAGAAATGTCTCCAAAACCTGCCTGCTCCATTAGTTGCTTGTGATCCCCATTCAAATCATAATATATACCAGAAAATTTCCATTGAGGGGAGAAGAGCATTTGCTAGTTTTGCAATTATCAGCGATGACATTTGCCTTTACAACTAATAAAGGCTCATTTTAGCCAATATTCTCAATGATAACAGTGAGGATTAGATCCTCCCAGGACACGAGAGCTTATACAGCAGCATCTTTCCCAGCTGCTACAGTTCTGAAGCTGCTCATCCCCTGTTGATTCTGCAGCATCCACAGGACACCTTCAGTGACTTGAGGAGAGGTAATGAAGGTGCAGTTAGGAAATTCCTTTCGTTGTGGATGACCCCGAGCTTTCAATTACCTGAGCTGCGGGCTGCGCAGCGCGAGCCCGGCTGCGCGCAGCCGAGAGGCAGGAGCTGGGCAGGCAGCAGCGCGGGCGCCGCTCGTCCCACGCCAGGGCAGAACAGCCCCGAGGGGCCGCTGCAGCCTCCCGAGGGGCCGCTGCAGCCTCCCGAGGGGCCGCTGCAGCCTCCCGAGGGGCCGCYGCAGCCCCCGGGGCCCCGCGGCCTCGCGGGTCACTTAGATACCGATGCCTGAGCGATGGCTCTGCCCTGTCCTCGCACTGCTGCGCCACGGTGCCAAGAAGCCATTCTCAGCACCTGGGAATCTGTACTCTGAATTATGTATGTCAGGTTCCTGGGGTTTAATTTTTAACCCTTTTTTAGGGGGCAGAGAGTGGGAAGGAGTAGCTAAGCATTGCTGTTCTGTTTTTATATCACTTCTTCCTCTTTTATCCCTCTTCAGCTACTGAGAAAGCAATGTGGATTTGTTTGTCAGTGAATTATCTTCATTCGAAATCATGTTGTGATTAGAAAGCCTTTGAAATATAAAAGCACAGAGTCAGCAGATATTCCTTCAAAACACAAGAAACTAAGCAAAACAAATGCATGGATTTGGATTTGTGGCCTTTGGCCTTTTCAAACAGTTTAAGTACCTCTCAAGCCTTGGTCTGAGTTAAATATTGTTGATCTGTTATTGAACCTGTGCTTCTCCCTCACTCAAGGATTAGCCTCATCTTAATTGCTGGTGTATTTTAATTCTGGTTGTTTTCTGGGAGCACGGATAAAAGTAAACTTTTTCCCCCATTCTTAGTTGCACATAATGCAATGATATCAAGATATCAAGCATGACTTTCTTTTTAAAGTATAAATCTATCTTGCAAATAATTCAGGTTTTGTCTCCTTGGTTGACTTTGCACCTTGTCTCCCATTACCAGCAAACAAGGGTGTGTAGCAAGAGCGAGAAACAGCCTGGACTTTCTTCATCTCTCTAGCGAGGTGGCAAGAGAAGGKAGCAAGGAAAGACACCCACATTCCTTCCAAGCAGCCTGGAGCTGCCGGGGGCAGCGATTCCCCTGGGAGCTGTCGGGATGGCAGTGGGACAGGCCATGCAGCTCCTGCTGCTGCTCTTTGCTACTGCGGAGCTCCCTGCAGTAACAGCAGTGTGCTGGGTGCTCGCTGCGCTGCTCTCGCATCAGAAACTGTAGGTAGAATCCTTAGGTGGTCTGCCCAAGTCTGCCCAAGTCAGACAGTTTCAACTGTCACATGCCAACAACTCTGCCAAATACAACACAGAAAATGGGTGAATCTGAGAAACGTGTCCAATTATCCTCTCTCCTCCCTCCTCTTTAGGTCCCAGTGGAAGGATCTCAGTTATGGGAAACAGGGTACAGAGCTTTGATCCTACGCACAGGATAAATGACAGAGACTACATGGGCTGGATGGATTTTGGACGGCGCAGTGCTGAAGAATACGAGTACTCCTCCTGAAGAACCACAAACTATAGCAACAGGAAAGGGAAAAAAAATCACACTCCCATGTCTGTACAGCAGGAGAAAAATTAATTTGTTGTTCTCTTCAAATCAGTGTTTTAAAATATATTATGTACTTGACGTAAATTTGTCTGTAAGACTATACAATGCAATATATACATATGCAGAATTTTCCAGGAAATGTTTTCTTTCTTTCTGTGGTTTCTCATACACTGATATTCTATTAAAATTATTTCACATATCCCTTCTTGTCCTGTCACCACACATTGCTGGGTGCCTAACAACACAGGGTGGCAGGAAAATGCCCTCATTCTGCAATGCAAATACATTTGATTTGTTAAATTGTCAGATGAATGAGCCCCTTTATAGAGAAATCCTGTAATAGTCACAATAATTATGAACTCTAAGGAAAACTCATCCAAATATAAATACAGTAGCACAATATTGCCAGAAAAGGCCACCTGCCTTCACGGCAACCCCATTTGGCAAGGATTGAGCTGCGCACCAAACCCCCCTGTTTGGAGCTAACAGGGCAAAACACTAAAAGAATAACAACAGTATCTTTCCCCTTCTTGGCTAATTTATTTTACATTGTGAACTAAATGTGAAAATTCTGCTCACAGCTACGAAACATGGAATAAATGGACCATTCCTTGCCTTGTGGTGAGCTGGAACGTTCCTTCGGGCTGGGAGTGACAAGAGCTGATGTTGAGAGAGCAGGGAGCAGGCACGGGAGCAGGTCTCATTGCAAAGTCATTGCAGGACACAGGGCAGAGAGCTCTGCGCTCCCGGCTGGAGAGCAGCTTGTGCCTCTCCTGAGCCCAGGGTCGAGGCTGCACCTCTGGGGAGCCTCTGCCCGTGAGCCCCCGTGCTCCAGGGCAGGAGCTATTTCCACAGCGGCTAACAGCTTGAAAACCAAGGTGCAGAGAATAATAGAAAACTATCAGACTAAACCAAAATTCTACCAAAACCAAGAGGTTTGGGAGGCAAAACAGTTATGCCCACTGCTGAGCACAGCAAAACCGATCAGAACCCTTGGGGAAGCTGATCCTAGCGCCCGCTGAGGCACCACCAGTAGCAGCACTCGAAAAAGTTTGCAACACAACAGATCCTTCAACAAAAGGTAATAGGGAATTTTCTACTTATAGCAAATGTCTCATCTGGGGGCTCTCATCTTGCAAAACAGATTCAGCTGCTCTTCTAGATGAACTTCATCTCAAGCTCCTTCCAGTCAGCGTTTTTCCAAGCTGCCTATTCCATCTTTTCTCAGTCTCTTTCCAACTACAATGAGCTGACTTCTCCTTACTCCACTCTGCCTGTGGGAGAGCAGTCCAAAAAGCCTGTTTTCCTCCCAACACTTTCAAACAGGAGATTAAAACCAATTAAATATTTTAAAAAAAAGGAAAACACAGACTAATGCATACATTAAAAGATTTCCTACCACAGTGGTGGGTTTTTTTTGTTTTGTTTTCTTTTATAAAAGCAACTGGAAGGAAAACTAATGTTTCTGGTGTTGTTGTTCATTTGGTTTATAACTTAATGACAGAAGGGTTTAAGCAACTAAAAAAGTTTCTATCCCTGCTGTATTTTTTTAAAGAATGCAATGGGGGGTTGTTACTGCAGAATGCCACATTAGCAAAGAAGCCCGTGCCTTTATTCTCCCTCTCGCTTCCTGCGTGCACTGGCAATAACGCAACTTTTCCTCCTATTTGTCTCTTCTGAAAGTCCCCCGAGATGCTCGGGAGGGTAAGGAGTCACATATCAACAGAGCTGGGCCTGTCTGTACCCCAAGAGATCAATCACTTCCCGGCACAGAAGAACACCCCTGCTCCGCCGGGCATCCATCAGCACTGCTTTGGAGCAAGCGTTTGCTCAATACAAATCTTGAAAAGGGCAGTTTTGGAAGAGAGATTTTTTTTGGTGAAAACTGTTTTCTTCCCATAGTGTCATCACAAGCAGAGCTTTTCTGGTTTTGAAAGTGATTAAGACGGAGCACTATTTTCTCTGCCAGCTCCCTGACAACAGTGTGACATTTGCACGTAATCACATTTCTATGTTTCCAGGATGCTGGAGAGCTTCAGACACAACCCGGTCCTATTTCCTTATTTTTTTCCCCCAGTCACTGCGCCTGCCACTTTTAAAAGTTAAACGGTGCCAGGGCTGTAAAATAGGCAAAGGGAATAAAGGAATTTGCAGTGATTCACCCAGAATCCAAATGAGCATTTGAGACATTTGGAATTTAATAACTTGTTACTTATTAAAGTCCTCCTAAGAGACCGTGATGAAAAAAAAAAAGCACTATTTCACTGAATTAACCCAAATTAGTCTGTACGATCAAAGCAAGCCCTTTGCTGTTTGTTATGCTAAGAAAGCTAAACCTCTCGGTGAAGAGACCCTGCGTGATGAGTGGGATTCCTGAAGCTGTGGAAATACTGCCTGTAATTGTGCTGTGATTCCCGTGTTGCGGCCTCCCTCCTGGATCAGTGAGGATCATTCCCAGCCCACGTGTGTATTAGCTGCAAGGCAGAGCTTTAACTTCTCCTCATACAAGAGAGTCATCACCACTGACACACAGAAATCAGGATTTAGGGGGTTTCAGTCATCTTTGCCTGATTCAATTACTTGTATTATTTCTATTCCAGCTTTATTAATCTAATTTTAAAGCAGGTGCTGGGTAAAACCTTGTGGACAGAGAGGCTTCCTGGAAACTCCATGAAATATTGTGCAGACAGCAGCCATGGAGAGGAGCGGATGCAGCCAATTTCCCTGAGGGATGAAGAGGAAATCCGGGAAAGAATCCCAGAAAGCAAGGGATTCCAGGGGAAGGAGCAGATCGCCCTCGGAGCAGGGGCTGACCATAAGAGAAATCTCAGTTTTTTTCAGCTCACCTGACCCYGAACAGTCTCCTCTGCCTTGAAGTTTCACATATTTGAAATTAAAAAAAAAGTTGTAAAAAAAGCAATTTTGGGATCACTAAGGCCAGTGCTTGGATACTGGACGAAGCTGGAGATGCCACAGGTTGTGCAAGGTGAATTTGCTGCCAAGGCCGGGACCGGGCCAGGCCAAGTGTTGGGAGCTCCTGTTTGGCCTCCGCGCCCGCTCCGAGCCSCACGCCTGGAGCACAGGCCCGATCCCATCTGCACTGCCCGGATGGAGGGATTCGCCCGGCGGACGAAGCTGCAACATCCTCCCAAAGCGGCAGAAGGCTTTTTGGGGAGGGAGCCTTTGATTTTAGTCTCCTCCAAGCTCATTAAAATTCTCTTAAAGAGAAAACACTCGGTGATGGGCTTGTTAAAGGTCTAACCATTCCCAAATGACGGTGTCAAATGAACAACAGATGGATTCAGCACAGCTTGAAGCCTCTTTCAGAGGGACAAAAATCTCTATTTTAAATACAAGCCGTGCCTCTTCCTTGAATATCTCTCCCATCCCTTGAATGTCACTCTCCCATGCACAAAAGCCTGACGGAGACAGCAGAGGATGGTGTGAAACACCAAGACTTTCAGGCCATTCATTATCCTCCTGCTAGTCCAGGCTCCCAGTTTGGGGGGTAAGCAATTAAAGGGGGYACTCACCGAGCCCTGTGAGATGTCATGGCACGGCTGAGCGGTGCAAATTCTTTTACAGGAACGAGTGCTGCCAGCATTAGGCCTGTGCCAGACGAAGGCAGGGCACATTTCACAGCCTTTGCTGGACTTCTCAAACCAGTGAGAAAAGCTGCTAGCAAATGTCCCAAATGCCACACGCATGCCAAGAGAGATGCAGGGAAGTTTCTAAGAGACTTGGATATTGCAAGGATGAAGGAGTATTTCTGAGCAGAAACAGCTGTTTCGCATCCATTTCACCTTATGGCGCTTGGTTTAGGCAGTGGTTTTGTTCTGCCTTGACACTGTCTCAGGGCTTTAAGCTCAGTTTCTAGAAGTCTTGCTCAGCCTCGGTTATCTAGTGTCGCAATTTTCTGTGCTTGAGGGGAAACCCAGGATCGCTGCAGGCACCACTGCTGCTTCCAGAAGCAGAGATGAGGGGCCAGGTATGTGCTAACATAACCCATTTTCTCCAAAGCCCACTAGAATCAGGAGGCAGGRACTGTCCTGCCCATGGCAGATCTCCACAGACCCTCTCCAGTTGCTCCTGTGTATCCCACTGTATTCTGCCTGCCTCAGCTCTCTTGACCTCAAYGGGCTCCACTTCTTCCCTCCCTGGCATCTCTCTGATCTTCTTCGGCAACACGAATATCTTGTCCCAGACATCCTGTCCCAGGAATGCAACCTGGAAGCCGTGTAGGTCCTGCAGTGAATCCTACTAATCCTCAAAATTTTCACACGTAGTTGAACACAAGCTGCCTTAGCACTCCAGGGCATTGGGAAGGTCGGATTTACAATTCATGTTCATAGATGTCATAGTTCAAAAGTGAATATAACTACATCTAATCACATATTAGCCACTTAGCTGGCACAGCCCACAGCCCAAAAAGGAAAAAGGAAAAAGGAAAAAGGAAAAAGGAAAAAGGAAAAAGGAAAAAGGAAAAAGGAAAGTGCATCCTTCTGGATACTTTCAGAAACATTAGGCGACTTTCAAAGCACCAGGAAATATCAATCCAGCACAAACAGCAAGCACCATGCTTTCCAACCCCAAAGTTTTAGGTCAGTGTAGGGGCAGCCATTCACAGCAGCAASGATAGGTTATGGGGGRAAAAAAAAAATCTATAGATTTTGGAAGGCRAAAAGGTGCAATTAGTAAAGAGAGCATCAAAAAAACCTGCCTGCAGTTCACGTATTACACCAGACTCAGCCAGGACCATGTCGGCCTCAGTGCAGCCGTACCCGGKGCAGCTCAAGGGGCAGCTACAGCTGCGCCAAGGGCTGGCAGAGGGACTGCGGGACCCTTGATGTGACAGGATTCAGGTGGGCAGGCACTGGGGCAAGGGCTGCAAACCGGCAGGGAGGGAGGTGTGAAAAAAGCAATGCTGGAATTCCAACGGGGGAGGTGGAAAGTGTACCTGCTTCTGTATTTTTCCTCCTTTGACTTGACTTTTACTAGTTCTGAGAATCTTAACAGTTCCAAAACTCTTTAATTACTTTATGTCCAAGAATTCAACAAACAAACATGGTGACACTCTCTTGTTTTGCTTTGACTGATGGGCCACAGCAAGGGAACAGGCTCAGAGATTCACCACCTCAGAAAACATCCAAAACCCCAAACAGGAAAAAAAGCTGAATAATACACAACAAGGCAACTTTCTGTTGTTGTTGTTATTTTATTGATATTAGTGAAGAAATTTAAATTTCATTGTTCTGATGTGTTACAATTGCTTTCTCTGGTGGGTGGACAACTCCCAATGCTTATTTAATGGCTAAATACTACTTCCCAATTCCATCCTTAACTTCTACATTTTAAGTTCTCACGTGGTATTGCTTTCTTCCTCTGGRTATATAAAATGGTCCATTAAGTCCATATTTTTTTCAGAATCCACTGTTATTCTATCTACTGTTTTAAGATACATTCAAATAAAAAGATAATTAAATTTACTTGCAATAAGTGCACACATACAACAGCAAGAGAGCTGATGACATTTTACTAAAACATTGTAAGTTCGTAGAATAAATAGAAGTCTTCAAACACATGCAGTAGTTGACCGATGTGTTTTTCTTTTTCTCAAAAATATGCTTAGTGTCCATAGCACTACTGTAGTAACTACTTCATTCAAAAACAAAAGCAAAACCCACCCCTCTCTCGTCACAAAGATCAAAAGACAGTTTCAGTTATACAAGAAATTATCAGTGCTGACGATTTAGTAACAGTCTGGTACAAATGGCAATGCACGGCAAGTGTAGTGTCATCACGGTAAGGACAACCAGGGAGCTTGGTTGAAATGCTGCAAAAATGGCAAGAAGAAAGATGTTGACCCTCACCCCTGCTCGCTCTCCTCTCTCCTCAAAAACAACAATAAAAAGGTCTCAATTGCACTCTAGCAATGAGCTCCATCTTGTCCTTTTCCACTCATTTTTCAAGCACCTAGCAGAAGTTTGGGAGAAACGGAGGAGAAAATTTCAACATAAGAGGAGAAAATTTCAACATAAGGTCTCCTGGCTGTAACTAAATGAGGTGCAAGTTCTTTTGTTTTCTTCCTGAAAATAAGTTTTTTTTTTTTTTTTTTTTTTTTTTGGCTTTAAAGCATGATGGTAATAGATTTTCACATACTTTTACCTCTGCTAAGGTCAAACTTTGGATGGAAAAGGCTTATTTGGAATTAAAAAAAAAAACCCACAAAGCAGGAAAAGGCTAGGAGTACTCTCACCTTGTTCACAAGGACACTTAAGAAGGAGTCCTTGGCATAAAGCCTGCAGACAATCTGATCCTCAGCCGCTTTTCCAGCTTCTACCATCGCGTTACTAAACGTCTGTGCGGCTCTGCTGAGGTTTCAAGGACACCTTTATCCTAATACTGCTTTTGCTACATGATCTTTCATGACTCCCTTATGTGCCTGCGTGTCCCACAACCCTGGCTTCTAGGAAGGCGGCTGCCACGGTGACCTCCTTGGTTGTGAAAACTGTTTTCTTTGGGTTTCAGTGGCAGCAACGCGCGGTGAAGCATCTTCCCCTCCACGATCCAGTGCAGCACTGAGAAAACAAAACAAAACAAAACAAAGCGAAACAGAGAGACAAGCAGCCACACGGAATATAGAAGTGCCRAACGAAACGTCAGCGGCAGGAAGGGGTCAATGTTCCAGGTACCCAGCAGGTCTGCCAGCTTCCACGTGGTGTTAGTTCAAGTTTATCCTAACTAGGGGGAGGAAGGGAATACAGACCAGAGCAAGAAACGACTTCCGTTCAGGCAAAACGGCCAGGCACTCCAGTAACTCAGCTCAACTCATCTACAAAGGCAAAGTCAAAATGACCAAATGCTAAACTGAGTGCTTCCTTCGGCACGTAGCAAAGCGCAGGGAGCTCCCACGCTTCAYGGGATGCGCTCTGAGGTCTCCTGCAATGCACTCAACCTTCCCATGGGGCCTCCAACTGTCAAGTTAGGCTAGCTACAGAATTCACCTTTTTAGCCAAGTTATTTTTTGTGGTTTTTCTTTTGTTTTTTTTTCAGTGCATCTTAAAAAAAAAAACTTTTCAAAAGGTTAGCAAGTTAACCTTGATACAGCAATCACAATGTAGAGCCTTTTGCACTCAATCGAACAGGAAAATAATCCAATTAGTTACAATAGATCTGGTATATATTTACATATTTTGTACAAATTTTACACATTTCTCCCATTAGGCACAAAGTTGATTTGTCAAACTCAAGAGGCAATGAAGGGCCAGGGCAAAAGGGGAAAGAGGGCTGGAGAAGAAACCTCAGTATTTTTATTTAAAAAGACTAGCTGTAAAAATAAGTCGTTCATCGCAAGCTAGTTTGCTTCGGGAGCTTGGTTCCCATGAGGATTCCCGAAGCGAGGGATGTCGGGCCTTTCATCTGCATGCTGGAACCCACCATCGTGGGGAAGCTCCGGTTCCTTCGGATGCCTGTGTTCAACTGGATGCCCCCGATGGCACTTGTCACAGCAGGGCAGCCCAATGGGAGAGCATCTGGTGCCAGGCCTCCGGGAACAAGGGCCCTCACCGGTCCTTGTGCCCCACAGAGGAGAGGTCCCTGGTCATCAGTTAGAGGAGGGGCTGGCACGTGCCCCGAACTCACGACCTTGGCGATGCCAAACCTCTTGACTTTGTCCACGAGATTAAGGTTGGAAACAGACACGTCCGTCTGACTCTCACTGTTCCTGATGCTCTTTTTGTTCCTCACCTCCTTCAAGATGGAGCTCGCAGGCTTTGAAGCCAGGAAGTTGTCGTAAGGTGGGCTGGTGCACTTGAATTCGAACGACGGAGGAGAGGACGACGGTGTCTGCATAGGTGAGTTTGGGGGAGTGGAAGGAATGATGGCCATTTTGGGGGAGTAGGCGCTGAGGAGGGTGCCCTTGCTGGCCCTGTCCCAGCTCTGTGGATTGTACACTGCTGCCGAGATGCCCCTCTCCTTCAGGAGCCACACCAGCCCCAGGGACGTGCTCATTGTCGTGGTGGATTCCCGGAGGTTGGTGAAGGATTCGGCCAGGCTCAGACGCCGAGGAGTACAGGGAGTAGCCACTGGGGTGCCTTTCAAATTGCCAAGGCTGCCACAAGCTGGAGTAGGTGCTGCGTTAAGGCTGGAAGCAAAGGGAGAGTTAAATTAATCTCTCTACTGGGGCACTAAAACTTACTGCAAGACTTTTAACCCTGAGCRTGGAATTTTATCCACTTTGAGGGTGTGCAGCAAACTGCTGTTTCCCATGTCCTCACAACTACGATGGAAAGTACAGAAACATCAAATATAACTCTTCATTTAGTATACTTTACCAGGCAACATACCAACCACAGGATTAATTCATTCCCCAACTGTACCCTTGTATTGACGAACTGTTAGTTAGATCAAAAGGCTTGGGATCAACAGCTTTCTGCAGGGAATTTTTCCCCTTATCTACAGGCTGTCCTAACTACCATTGCTTCCATGAGACAAGGAAGCAGGGGAAGGAGGACGTGGACTAATAATATAAATTTTGCTTTCTTGTGACAATTCTGTGCACACAGAACTGCTAGTCATTCCAGTAATGCTGGATCATGGCAGGGCTAACATCAAGGACGAGATGGAATATATTTGTTCCAGTAGCACTTGCAGTAAAGTTGCTGGAATTGAGTATTGTCACCAACAGGCACCTCTGTAAGGACAAACACTCTTTTCCTTCTCATGTTTTGCTGAATTTGATGGTATTTAACAGGAGAGGATGGGTGATCTGACTTTTGAAGGAGATGAATGGCAGTAGGAAAAACCATCAAAAGAAAAAATACAGTCAAGCTCTTGGGTATCAGCTAATGTGCAAGTAGTAACTCAGCAACAACCAAACACAGCAAAGAGCCATTCTACTGTTAACTCGGTGCAATATTAATTCCTACAGTTTGAAACAAGGTTCAGCTTTCACCAACTCTAGTTCTTTTCAGAATAAGCTACATAGAGGCAATGGATGAGAAAATGTAAATGAAGAATTAACACACACACATTTAAAACTCACAAACATTACATATCTGTGTATAATGCTATTTAATTGCCTTAAAAAAAAAAAAAAAAAAAAAAAAAAAAA